TGAGACAACTGAGCGGCCTTGGAAGCCCCTCTCTGCTGACCAGGAGAGTCCAGGAGGGGCTTGGTGGGGATTGCTGGGGTGAGGGGCACTTTGGTGAGCAGGTGGTGAAAGAAAAGATTTCATAGGATCATCAAGAATTAAATCAAAGAAAAATCCTGTTCCATTATCAATATCAGGTGTGGCTGCTGCACAGCTCCCAGCACCTGATGGGACCACCTCGTCAAAACATTTCACAAATCAACTTGTATCTAAACTATTTCAAAAAATTGAGTTATTGGGATTGGATTCTCCTAGAGATGCTGAGCAAAACCTGTATGTTTTGCCAGGAGGAGGAACAAACTGTTAAACCAGTATCCTCCCTGCTCCTGTCCTTGCCAGTGAGCAGCCAGGGCCCTTGGAAACTTGGTCCCATTGCAGACCCAAAGTTGCAAAAGCACCCTGCAAACCCTAATGCTGACCAACAGCTTGTGATAAGAAGCACGGCCCTGTGAGCCGTGCTGGGACCTGGCCTCTGCCAGCACAGCACAGATCTCCATCGCTTCAGGCAGGGGATGCTCAGGAAAGGCACGAGGAGGAGGAGGAGCAGCAGCAAGGGGGGAAGGCAGGGGCTGCGCTCAGCTTCCCTGCCCCAGTGTCCAGACAGGGGGGAAGGAGGGCTGGAGAGCAATGGTGGGAGGGATGGAATGGACAGAACAGGAGAAAAAAGCACCTTCTCTGAAGTTTTCAAAAAAAGAAGGAAAAAAAAAAAGTAAATTTAAAAAACCCCACCCTGAAGAGACGTTGCGTTTCGGTGAAGCTGCCCTTTTTGTCCCAGGACTTCTGAGTATTAATTTTAATTTTAAAAGTTTGCAAACCAAGGTTGAACGAAGTTTGAGGAAAAGCTTTGCCCAGGTTTTCAGCTCTCAGGATGGAAGGAGATGAGGATGGCGATGGAGACAGTACAGACACACAACGTGCAATCACTGGAGGGCTCGTCCGTCCTCGCCAGGCAGCCCGGCTGGAGAACGGAGCGAGAATCACGGCAGCTTTGAACTCTGTCATCAGGAGCTTGCTCAGAGCCCACTGCTGCACAAATAACTTTCTGCAGTACTTTGTATGCAGCTAAAGGATCCCAAATTCCCAGGATTATGTTCTAATATCCTGAAAAGTTAAATGTTCTTCCCAGACATGGCAGCAAGGAAAGCACACGTGGCCTTACCGCTGATTTTTCCCTGTCCAACCTAAAGTAAATGCTGCAAGGCAAAAGCTTACACGGGAAGATATGAACTGGCACAATTTTGCTCTGATCGCTGCCAGACAAGGAGGAAGGCACCAGTCTGTAACGCGTTTAATCAATAGGGTTCGAAGGCCAGAGCACGGCTGCTGTCTCTGCAGGGAGGCTGTGCCACAAAACGCATTTGACAGCGCAGGTTCCCCTGCCAGGGGCTCCTGAGCAGCCTCAGACACCAGAGCTCAAAACCTGCCGGACAGTGAGAGGTTCTCCTTCTACAGAGAAGTGGTCTGGAAGACGGTGTGATGCCAATGCTCGTTCGGTGAAACACACGGGATAAGCAGGTCGAGCTTGAAGTACATCATGAGATCCCAATGCACTAGATTCACTTTTTCGTTAATTTGAGCCCCCTTTCTCAAATAGTGACAACTCCATCTCCTCCCTGTCTTGATTTCGGGGAGAGGTAGGAGCATGTTTTGCTTCCAGCTAAGCCATGGTTAATTAACTTGTTTCCAGGCTTTGCCCCAGGGCAGCACTGGGGCCCCCCTGAACTGCCTGCGGGTGATGGAGGGACAGCGGGGACCCCACCGGTCCCCCCGGCGATGGCTTTCAAGCTGGGGATGCTGCAGCCTGGGGAAGGCGGCAGGGCTCTCTGGCACTGGTACCTGACCAGAAGGGACTGGAGGAGCTCTGAGAAGAAAAGTTGAGGCCCTGAGGACTGAGAAAAGAAAAGTTGTAGGAAGCGCAGGAGGCTGCAAAGAGGTTAGAGAGAAACAGAAAGAGGCAGAACACGCATTAAAAAGGAAATAAATAAAAAAGAAATTATAATGCACAACGCTTTAAAAGCCGACAGAGAAATACAGGGCAAAGCACACAGCAGGTCTTGCGCAGGGGCTCGGAGCTGGGACAAGCAGCGGCAGGGCTGTCCACCGCCCCACAGCCA